CTAAGGACATAATGAGGGAGTTCGCATGTGTATAGTTGGAGAAGGCAAACAACTTATGAAAACAAGTTGCTTAACCACATATTGATGTGGCAGCTAACAACACATTTTAGGCAGTTGCTAAACAACCCATTTTGAGTGTCTTCCTCAAACAATCATTCCTGATATTTGTGTAGAAGACTTTTTAAAATGAAAGGTTCCTTATTTACATGTTCATTATGTTTGTCTTAAAACGACTCTTGCCACATTCACAAAAGAGATTCACAAAAGAGACATACGCCATCTGTTTTTAACAACTTGATAGCAACGGATCTTGTTGAATATATAGCTATTGTGTAATTGCAGACATCTCAATTCTAATAACAAATAAAATTCAATGCAATTAACATCACAACAATAATATTGGGCATCTTCTACTCGCGCATCGCGCGCAACAAAACTAGTAGTAATATATATGTCCATGACTCTTCTACTAGTAATATAAGTGAATTTTTTTCTTATTCTTTTTTAAATTCATCATTTTCTAATTCAAACCCACGAATAAATTCACCTATATTTTCAATACTTTTCAACAGTAGTGAATTCAGAGATAATCACAACTTCCAATTTTTAGACACACGGCATTACAATAAATATATTTTCTCATACGATGATATTATTTGTTCATGAATTATAGAGACGGTTGTATTAAATTATTTGTTCATGAACCACATTTGTTTGTAAGACTTTCACGTTTCAGCTCAGAACCTCTATGTGAAAAATATCAACGTGCATTGTTTAAAATATTTTTTGTTTTTTTTACGATCTTCATTTTTTAGTGATTTTTGAATTGTTTAGAATTTTTTCATTCAAATCTTTTTAAATCAAAGAAGTCCACAATTGCCATTTAATGTTACATTTATTTATAAGATAAACCTTTAACCAAAGCATTTACACTGCGTGACATAGTCGATGGTATTTATTATTGAAACTAGTTATTTTGATGCACAATGCGCGATTCTGTTAGTGCCCAATAATGTTTGTATAATACACTGATACAAAAGGATAGGGAAAGCTAGAAACATATATCATTTATTAACAAATACTTCGTATATTTTCAAAAAAAAACTTCGTATTAAGTTGAAGACAGGAATGTAGGGGTCCATGGTGTGGGGTAAACTACTTCGTAAGAGTGATTTTTTTAACATTCTACTTGACGGGATTAACATTAAGAAAGAATAGTGAAAGGCCAACCTAGACCAAGTCAAAGGCAAAAGTCTAGCTCCCACTTCCAGCATCCTGGTCTTATTTGCATAGGAGATAAAAACCAACTCACATAAGCTAAATCAAACTGGACGAGTGATGTCAAAAGGGTCCCAAATTTCAGAAGGCGATGCATCGGGACTGGTTGGAGGAGGATAAAACTCAGCTGTGAAATTTTTTAAGATAGACAATACCTTCCTTTTCCATATAGATGCTCCCCTTACACAATAAGACAATTGTGACCATCCAGGAATTAGAAAGTCGTCCTCAGTGAAATCCCTTTGTTCAATGAAGGAGTTTGCAACAACATTACTCTCTCTAGGAGAATATACAATCTCCAAGATGCTTTATCATCAATATCGCCCATATATATAATGCTTCACAACAGCCACATTTGTTAAACAAATTTACAACAGACTCCAACTATATGTGCCAAATGGTAAATAAGCAAACTACATGAGTTAATTCGAACATACAAGGGATGGGAGCGACGTTTAGTATCAGTTTAGGAACATGATTAGAGTAAAATACATTGTATGTTTTTAGGAACAGTCTTATCAGAAATCCTTATCACAGAACATTAATTTGGGTAGAGTTTTTCTTTTTCTTCTTCAGGATTAGTTTAGTATTGATAAATCAGTTTAATACAATTGCAAAAGGAAATGGGATGCATTAACTCGTTCACTTAAGGAAATGTAGATTAAGAATAAAACTAACTATTTTGTACATTAGTTACCTCATTTTAATATAGTCTCAGTTGAGACAAAACAATTTTATTATAGTTGAGATGCAGTTTAAATATGTGTTTTAATTGGTTATTTTTTTACGATTACACCTAACTTTTACCATTGGAGTAGCTCCAATTGAGCTTCAGAAGCTGAATTCCACATGCACTATTTGGAGTTTCGAATGACTCCCTATCATAAACACTATAATTTGATAAACACAAAATTTAAACAAAGTCAAGCCTTTTTCGTTTCCATGGCTTTAGATTTAACTAAAAAATCTTAATCACATATCACATAATCTGTTTTGAATTTTGAGTATGATATATCTATTTGACCAAGAAAAGCACATAGATCATACTCAAACTGTTATGTACGAGCAATGTAATTGACCGTAAAAGAGCAAAAATCGAAACATCGAGTCATAGATCTACTAAAAATGTAAAGTGCGAGAAGGGGTTAGCATGGCTGTTTTGCCGTGTGAACAGTCCCCAACCGTTACCCCTTTTTGCCGCAAACCCAACTAACAGCGGCCACCGTTTGTTTCCCCTTTTCTTCGTTTCTTCGCTTCCTTGATGCAACTTAATCCGATTCTGCGGCCAGGATCGTTCGGTGTACTGTTCTGTCAGCTCGGTGCCTACAAAAACAAAAATATCTTCCTTTTCTCCTTGTGTTGCGCTGAGAGCTCACTTCTGCCATTTTTTGGTTTCATGACTCCGCAGGGGCCATCGAAGGGCACGAATACTATGCTCACCATTTGTTCTCTCGCCACAGAGACCTTCGAATCTGGACTTGAGCTCGAATAACACTCTAAGACATCCGTTTGTTTCCGCTTCCACTTCCGTCGTCGCCAGGTTTTAATCGTTGAGCCGCTTTTTCCGAGCATACCGAGTCGCAGAAACGTGATGTGTAACAAATCAAGAATGGTTGTTGCTTCGGAGCTCCACAAAATATACATCAATATCCAGGAGATTACACTTGGGACGATCTTTTCTCCTTAGGTATGCGAAATTACTGCACCCTGCCTCTTCTCCTTATTCTATGTACTTCACTTCTTTCCACTATTGATGAGTTTATTTCTCAAATTTTACCTGAGTTTTAGGTGCATATAAGGTATTCCATGAAATGATTTAATGAGAAAAAGTAATAATTTTGGGTCTTGAAGTACAATAATAATATTCCTTTTAAATTCCTTTCAGTAAGCATCTGATGGGGGAACCAAGTTGTATGTTGCAATTAATTTATTTATATCCTAAAGTTAATGTTTGAGGCATCCCATGTTTTATTTATATGCGGGGTATAATTTCATAGATAAGAAGAAAAGAATCCTCGAGCTTACTAATATTTGTTTCTGTGGAATTCAAGTTCCATGAAATAATGTTAGTCCCCATTTCTAACAATCATACAACCATAAGAATGAAAGAAGAAGCAGATAGATTCTCATTTAGTATATAAATATCGAGAACTTTGGTAGACCGTGTAAAATGGCCACTGCTCTCCCTCTAGAGAGAGAGAGAGCAGCGTGAAAACAATTCTATCTATTCTGCCTCTATGCTCTATGCCTTCGTTCGGTTTTCCTCATAAGTTAGCCTCCTTTTATAGGAGAGGATGGCTAACTTATGGCTTACAAGAGAGGCTAATGGGCTAATATTTAATTGTGACCCATATTACACATTTAACTAACAACTACACAAATACAAAAGCATCTAACTAGATTGGACACCAGAAAAAGTCCTAACAAATAATCTCCCATCACCAGAACACATTTTCAAAAGCTTACAATTGTTCTTACTATATAGTAAAGCAACCCAAACATGAACTGAAAAATCAATTAGTTTGGTTTGATAACTGTTATCGGTTGAAATAACTGAATGTGTTCTATTTTGTGATAGGAAAATCTGAAAGAAATAGCATTTGGTGGCGTCCGTTTCAGTCAAATGATTAAGTAAAAGCCTCTTTTTTCATCAGGTTCAATTTACTCTCTCTTAGTCAACAATTTGACAGCTTGTGATAAATATCTAAGTGTGTGCTTCTTTTATCATGTTGTTTATGCATGTATAGACTCTGTTGCATATGACATGAGACAATTGCTCTTGTAATTTATGCTTTGTTGATGACTCAAAGAGTAGAAGGAGAAGCCAAGAAGAACAAGATGAGAGTAATTTTCCTTCCCCTTTTCTCATCAAAATCGTTTTTATACTTTAATTTGCCTTTTAATTAGTGCCGCTTCAATTGAGACACATTCTACGTTGGCTGTTTTTCTAGGTTTGGGCAACTATCAATCAAGCTCAATTTGATAGTTGTATTGAAAGAATATCTAAAACTGCAGCTATTAAATGGTTATTGAGGTACTTTCTATATTTTGCCTATTTGATGTTTGATAAAATGCTTGATCTAGAACTCCATGTTTATTTTTTGATGATTTTTGCAAGTATACCTTATAATCATTTTGGCTTGCTTCATCATTTTTTAAAATGAATCAGCCAGATTTATCTATCCATTTCTTGGTTAATTTTCTTCCAGCTGAGTTTCAATGTTTTACAATCTTTGAGTTGTTTTAGTTTAATTTTAAATACAATTCTGGAACTAATTTCAGCATATACTGTAACGCCCCAAAATCCGGTCTAGTAGTTAAGATACATATGAATAAATTACTTTATCAAATCTAATATTTCTCCTACTTCGTGTAAATTTAAAATATAATTTTATTAAAAGAGTATTAATAATAAATTAATAGTGAAATAGTACACACTCTAACAGTCTTTTAAGATATTTAATTTAACCAAATTGGAAACATCAATACGTGTCTGAAACAAGTAAATAAATTTTCCTACTAATCTTGTAAGCAATACGGACAAACATATGTACTCTAATATAAATTATAAGAGCCAAAAATATTCAATTGATTAGGTATGGGCAGCCACACGAGTTCAAATCAAATAAGATATTTTACACCCACAATGGGCCAACTAGCCTCAATAAATAGCAATGGAAATAATTATGTCCCCTAAGAGCTTTGTCTATTATACGTACTATTATAGTACTCCGTATTATATAAAGACTATATATAGATACATTAGCTAACCCAAAACTTCCATTCGGCCAGTCACAAATAGTTCTAAAAATATATATACATATATATATCAACTGGGAAAGGTTTGAGCAAGTAGAAGAGATAGGACCAATTTGAGAAAATAGCTTCGGGTCCAATATTACTAACGTTTCTCATATAAGGTCAGTACGTTTCCGCCTCATTTTATTTAATGGGTATTTTAATACTATCATATTAATATAATTTTTCCGTCACTGTTCCTGAAATGTTATGGGGATGATGAATGTTGTATAAGTTTAGAAATGTTATACATGCTCTCAATATGTGAGTTTCAATTTATATGTAGTATAAATTTTAGACTCATATTTGATCGTCATTAACTAATGTATTGATTTAAAAACAAAAAAAGGAGTAAGTCTATTGGAAGTTATAAGAAGCTATAACTTGAAGACATCTCCAGAATATGAACCGTCATATTATGATACCCGTACATGTATGTGAAATGAATAGTATATTTAACACAGGTGTAATGATAAAATGACTTCCGGTAGCAGCAGCTACTCAATTAATCAATTACTTATTTATTAATTGATATGAAGTATGCACGTATATGTATTGTTTACATACATTCCACGTGCTTTAATTAATTACTATTATCATTTATTAGCTAGCTTAGTAGTGTTGGATTATTTTCAAAGATGAAAGTTGACTTGTGTTCTACATTGTTGGATTAAAGTTCCAACTTCATTAGTGGACTTGTAATTATGTGGCAGATTTAGTATGACTATGTATTATTATTATGTATATATGTATGTATATATGATGATATATATAGTCATAGCTTAATACACATACATGTGTGACTTGGATGACCCATAATGATTAATATATATATATATATATATATTATTTTAATATATATATGTATGTTTATGTAACGAGATAAACATGTTGGACAGTTAGTTAACTGCCAAACGGTCAAAGGACACAAGCAATGGCAAATAACTGCCATGCGGCCAAAGGATTCAACGAATAGTCATGTACTCCCTATTTATATTACTTAAGTTTCGTTTTTCAGTGTTAGAATTTTTCTTCTTGATTTTTACTTCGAAAAATAAGTATACACATTCTGCAGATGTGTATGATACATTAACAAGGCTATTAGTTATAGAGTATTTACGATTAGATTATTAAGTGCAAATAATCTAATGAGGCTTCATTGTATCCTAAAGGCAATTCGTTGGACCATATGCACTACTTTATATGGGACGTATTTCGCCTAAAGGAAAGCGATTTGATCATGACTTGAAGCCTGAGTAGTTCTACTCTCTATTTTCAGTTTATTGTTAAATAAGTAGTTTTTCAATAAAGTTTAGTGTTCTAGTTTTCCAACAATCTTTAGGCGAAATAAGTTAGTTTTTTGGATAATGGCGAATCTGCAACAATTAACCACCGACTTTGTGAAGTTGGAAAAATTTGAAGGAGGAAACTACATGCGTTGGCAGAAGAAGATCAAGTTCCTGTTGTTCAATTTGAAGGTTGATTATGTTCTGACCACACCAAAGCCCGAGGAATCCGAGAGTGAAACCATGGCTGATGAAAAGGCGAGGATCAAGTGGTTGAACGATGATGAAATATGCAAAGGACATATTCTAAATGCTCTATCGGATGGTCTGTTCGATGTGTACCAGAACACCCCTACCGCAAAGGAGCTGAGGGAGACTTTGAACAATCGCTACTTGACTGAAGATGTGACTAGTAAGAAATTTCTAACTTCCCATTTCATGAACTATGTCATGTCTCATGATCGTCCTATCTCTAATCAATATGATGAGATGATGTGCATTTTAGGACAAATGAAACAGTTAAACTTAAACATGGATGAGACTATTTCTGTTTCATGCATCCTAGACAAACTGCCTCCCTCATGGAAAGAGTTTCGGAAAAGTCTGAAACGAAAGAAGGAAGATATGTCTCTACGAGACCTCGGGACACATATTCGTGTTGAGGAAGAGACAAGGAAACTTGAAAAAAGGGATCAACCCGAATCTTCCAAAATCAATATGATTGAGGAAGGAAAGCCTGGACAGAATTCTAAACATTCTGGAAAGAAAAGGAAGTCAAATGATGATGGACCTAAGGAGAATCACAGCAACAAAAAGAAGAAAGTCACATGTTGGTACTGTAGTAAAGTCGGCCACATAAAACGTGATTGCCGATTTTACAATCAGAAACATGGCAATAAAAGCAAAGATAAAGGCAAAGAAAAATTTGTTGCTGTTATCACGGAAGCCAATATGGTGGAAGATGACGGTTCCTGGTTTATTGATTCTGGTACTACCAAGCATGTGTGCAAGGATAGGAGTATGTTTACATCCTATGAGGCTCTTCAAGATGGAAGTGTCATGTACATGGGGAATTCTTCTACTGTTATGATCAAAGGTGTTGGACAAGTTGATCTAGAATTTACTTCTGGAAAAATGTTGTCTATAACTAATGTGTATCGTGTACCTGATGTTAGAAAGAATCTGGTGTCTGTAGCTCTCCTTAACAAACATGGTTTTAAACTGGTGTTTGAGGGTGATAAATTTGTACTGACTAAAGGGGGGGTATTTGTAGGAAAGGGATATCTGTACGGAGGCATGTTTAAGCTTAATATCAATGAAATAAAGAACTGTTCTGCTTATATTGTTGCTTCATCTTCATTATGGCATTCGAGATTAGGACATGTTAATTCTAAACGTATGAAGGACATGACAAAGTTAGGTTTAATTCCAAAACATGATGCCAAGTTGGATGATAAATGTGTAGTTTGTGCACACACAAAAATCACTAGAAAACCTTTTAGTAATAAAGTAGAACATTCTTCTTCTTTATTGCATTTGATACATAGTGATGTTTGTGATTTTCATAATACTCCAACAATTGGCAAGAAAATGTATTTTGTGACCTTCATCGATGACTACTCAAAATATTGTTATCTATATTTGTTATTAAGTAAAGATGGAGTTCTAGAAAAATTTAAAATTTACAAAAACGAAGTAGAGAATTTCTGTAACTGTTCTATTAAGTGCCTAAGATCAGATAGAGGAGGGGAATTTCATTTTCCCGCATATTGTGAATCTGTTGGGATTATTCATGAAACCACCATGGCATATACTCCTCAACAAAACAGAGTGGCAGAAAGGAAAAATAGAACATTAACAGAAATGGTGAACTCTTTACTTTATAACTCTGGTTTGAGTAGTGGATTTTGGGGGGAAGCAATGTTGACGGCATGTCATGTTTTGAACCGAATACCTCAAAAAGAAAACTCATGTTACTCCATATGAATTATGGAAAAAGAGAAAGCCAAATTTGAGTTATTTGAAAGTATGGGGTTGTAGGGCAATTGTTCGCTTACCTGAACCTAAAATCAAAAAGTTGGGAGTTAGAGCGGTTGAATGCATATTTGTGGGATATCCTGAACATAGTAAGGGGTATAGATTTCTTGTGGTAGAACCAAATGAATTTATTGGTGTTAATTCTATCATTGAGTCTAGAGATGCTATTTTCTATGAGAATAGCTTCAAGACTATTTCTAGGTTTAATGGTTCACATGAATCCCAAAAGGAGCATGAGGTTATTGTCTCTAAAAGACATCTTGAACAAGAAGAAGTTCAAGAATTTGAACCTGAACCCGAACCTCAACCTAGAAGAAGTAAGAGAACTAGAATTGAAAAATCATTTGGACCCGATTTTGTGGTTTACTTGGTTGAAGGATCTAGAACTTCTCATTGTACCCAAACTATGATTTCTAGTAGTGTTGAGCCTGATCCCCAAACTTTTGATGAAGCTATGAAATCACAATATGTTTCGTTTTGGAAAGAAGCTATCGATGATGAAATGGGTTCTATCATGGGTAACAACACTTGGGTGTTAGTTGATTTACCCCCAGGGTCTAAACCTATAGGGTGTAAATGGATCTTTAAGAAAAAGATGAAAGTTGATGGAACCATAGATAAGTTCAAAGCTAGATTGGTAGCTCAAGGCTTTACCCAAAAAGGAGGTATCGACTATTTTGATACATATGCTCCTGTTGCTAGAATCTCTACCATTAGAGTTATTGTAGCTTTGGCTTCTATATATGGTTTTGTCATCCATCAAATGGATGTGAAAACTGCATTTCTCAATGGAGAATTGGAGGAAGAAATATACATGAAACAACCTGAAGGTTTTGTCATGCCTGGACAGGAGAAGAAAGTATGTAAACTCATACGATCTTTGTATGGACTGAAACAAGCTCCAAAGCAATGGCATGAGAAATTTGACAAGGTTATTGTATCCAATGGATTTGCAATCCATGAGTCAGATAAATGTGTTTATAGTAAATTCAACAGCAATAAAGGTGTCATTATATGTTTGTATGTTGATGACATGTTGATTTTTGGCACTGATATGGAATCAATACACCATGTTAAATCATTCATATCTTGTCAGTTTGAGATGAAAGATATGGGTTCTGCTGATGTGATTCTTGGCATAAGAATCAAGAGTATTGACTCCAAATTGGTTCTTTCACAATCTCATTATGTGGAGAAGGTTTTAAAGAAGTTTAATCAATTTGATGGCAGTCCTGTAAATACTCCTTATGACCATAGTATTAAATTGTATAAGAATACAGGAAGAGTTGTTAATCAGTTAGAATATTCTAGGGTCATTGGGTCATTGATGTACATTATGACGTGCACACGACCAGACATTGCTTTTGCTGTTGGGAAACTTAGTAGGTATACTAGTTGTCCTAGTAACATTCACTGGAATGGTGTTAATAGAGTACTAAGATACTTGAAGAAAACCATGGATTATGGTTTGTACTATAGTGGTTATCCTACTGTGCTTGAAGGTTTTACTGATGCTAGTTGGATAACTGATCGAGAGGATCACTCTTCCACGAGTGGTTGGATATTTGTGCTTGGTGGAGGTGCAGTTTCATGGGCCTCCAAGAAACAAACATGTATCACTGATTCTACCATGGCTTCGGAATTTGTGGCTTTGGCCTCATGTGCTAAAGAAGCTGAATGGTTAAGGAATCTCCTTATAGAGATTCCTGTGTGGCCAAAACCGGTGTCACCATTGTCTATCCACTGTGATAGTGAGGCCACTCTGTCTAGAGCCTATAACAACATTTATAATGGAAAATCCAGACACATTGGACTTCGACATAGCTATGTACGCCGATTGATAACTGATGGTGTGATAACTATAAACTTTGTAAGATCTTTTCAGAATTTGGCTGATCCGCTTACAAAGGGATTGTCGAGGGACTTGGTCTTTAAGACCTCCAAAGGGATGGGTCTTATACCCGTTTAATGATCACCAATAATGGAAAACCAACTTGACTCTTAAAACATTAAGAGTACTAGTTCAATGGCTAAAGTACATTATATGTAGTGATTGAAGCACAAATAAATTTGTAATATCTCAAAAGTTCTAGTGCTTGTTGTTCGTAGTAGTACAGAGAGGATGAGCAGAAGGCTCTTAATGAACTTGCAAGTGTTTACAGCTGCGAGAGCACAAAGTTCACCTATATGAGTGTTTAAAGTGGTGCCGCTTTATATGAGTTATGGGCTTGACTCTAGATCACTCTTGAACAGGATATGGACACATGGCCAATTCACGTGTCGGCATTGTAAAAATACTACTGTAACGTTGGATAATTTATGTGTGTAATCATCTCCGGTTAGTTATATGGGAAATTGGTTCAATGATTCGTCAACCATTATTTCTTTATTAACTTTGAGATGTATACACTATATTTTGGTTCGTCGTGAGACACCAATATTAATGCATAAATTCCTAGCCTTGTTTGTGTAGATGATTTATTTTGTGATTTTCTTTCATTTTGAAAATAGGGGGAAATGTTGGATTATTTTCAAAGATGAAAGTTGACTTGTGTTCTACATTGTTGGATTAATGTTCCAACTTCATTAGTGGACTTGTAATTATGTGGCAGATTTAGTATGACTATGTATTATTATTATGTATATACGTATGTATATATGATGATATATATAGTCATAGCTTAATACACATACACGTGTGACTTGGATGACTCATAATGATTAATATATATATTATTATTTTAATATATATGTATGTTTATCTAACTTGGATGACAGTTACTTACTTCGAAAAATAAGTATATACATTCTGCAGATGTGTATGATACATTAACAAGGCTATTAGTTATAGAGTATTTACGATTAGATTATTAAGTGCAAATAATTTAATGAGGCTTCATTGTATCCTAAAGGCAATTCGTTGGACCATATGCACTACTTTATATGGGACGCATTTCGCCTAAAGGAAAGCGATTTGATCGTGACTTGAAACCTGAGTAGTTCTACTCTCTATTTTCAGTTTATTGTTAAATAAGTAGTTTTTCAATAAAGTTTAGTGTTCTAGTTTTCCAACAAGTAGTTAGTACTCCGTATTCAATTAATTGATTTGTAAAATGAATGAATTATAGACTAAACTACTTTTAGATATCCACTCATGTATTATGTATGTGATATTGTTATAATTAATGTTATCACGAGTCACTATTTTGTAATATACAGTACTTTATTATATATGATTTTTAAATAAATTCTTCTAAATAAAAAGAAAACGTATTTCCTGATTCGTATAATTTTTTTTATAGTTAATGACAGTTTTAAAACTTGATATTTGAATTGTACCGATCAGTCAAAGGAATTGGATTTCGCTACATATACACACTTCAGATAAGAGCCATATAAAGATTTCAGCTAGGTATATAAAAATCAATTATACCAATACTTAATACTTATATTTATGTAGCCGGTCTAAATATTGGGATATAAAATTATATTTTATACGCATGCCCAACTTAATTAATAACTTATGCATATATTTAGTGAATATACTAGTATGTATAATGATTGCTATCTTTTAAATTTTACTGTAGTAAAATAGTACGTATTTCATATATTAAGAATGAATGTATTCATATAATTAGATCATACTACGTATATTATTTACTATTCTAATTTAATATACGTGCATGCTCTAGCTTATAAATAAATAAGTATAATAATAAACATTTAGATATAGTTATTTAGCTATAAAGAAGTACTATTATGAAAATTAGCCTTACTCTTGATCCGGTACTGTGACAATGGATACTTCTGTTCTGTTTAGTGTACTACGTACACTCCTGAAATTCTGTCTTAGAGGAATTAGTGTTCTCCTGTTTAGTGTACTATGTACACTCCTGAAATCTTTTTAGAACGCTATTACTCTTCTGTTAAGGTTCGAGTCTCTTCAGTGATCTCGTCCTTTCTGTTCAGCTAGCTTCTGTTAGGGATTGGTACGTGTAGCTCCGGCGATTATGTTTCCATATCCTTTATGGGTAATGTGGGTATGGACTTTATGTCCATACTCCTTACCGTTAATATTCCTCTGTCTAGGTCCAGTTTCTTGAGTACAAGGCTTAAATGAATTTATTAATAATATACCTTTTTTTTAATACCTCCGGATAAGAATTATTTGATAAGAATGATATATGAATATGCTTCTGATCTGTATATGAATATTTTGATTCTCATGACAGTTATTCGGCTCACTCAGGTATGTCAT